AGGGAGGAAGGCTGCGCCGAGCCCCGCACCGCTCCGTGCGCCTTGCCCCACGGGCGGGCGCTCCTCCCGCTAACCCCGGGGCTTGTCTTGCTTCTGGCAGTGCTGCACGGGCAGGTGTACCGGTTTTGCACCCCGGAGGGGACGTGGCTGCTGAAGGAGAATTCAACCTTGCCTTGGAGGAACCTGTCTGAGTGTGAGGCCTCTGACCAGGTAAGCGTTTCCATCTCTTGCTGCTGTTGTTTAGGACAAAACAGAAAAAAAAATACAGTCAGTGATGCCCGTGTGGTTTTGCCCTGTCAAAGTAATCTTTACCAACTCATCCCGGGTGAGCCTAATGGTGAGGGACGTCAGGCCTCTCCCCTTCCACAAAGGGCACGTGGAGCGTGGACGAGAGCAGGCTTAAATATACATGAGAGGTGAACCAGGTAGTCCCAGTTGTGGTGCGGGGGGGGCTCAACCCCACCCCACTCGAACTGGAGGAGTGACCTAATGTTATTCCTTTGCCTTTTCTTCCCCTGGCACATTGTTACGATGGAGTGACCGTTTGTTCTGTCTTGTTAGCAGCTATTAAGGTGATTAAGATGTACTGAACTGAAGGATATTTGCTTTTCACCTTTGGGCAGGGGGCAGTCCCTGGTTTTTATTTGTTTGGGGTCTTTTTGTCTTTTTACCTTAATTTGCTGTGGGCGATGGAATTAGGCTTGTCAGTGTTATTTTCTTGCCCTAGTGCTTTATACTCTGCAGGGAGCTGAGACACCTGGCACCAAATGAAGGAGAGAGTAGGGATTTCCAGGGGATTTTTGTCAGCCATTGGCGTCAGCTATCGCACCATGTGCGTTCCCATGACACGTGATACCGTTACTGCTGTGAGTCTCCAAGGGTGATGATTTTTCCTCGCTAAATTGAGTGCCCTCGCTCTCTCCCAGCGTACTGGGAACTAGTACGTACCTAGCCAAAAGAGTTTAAGCATAGGAAATTCTCAAGTGCTGTGGGATGTGTCCTCTGGATTTCCCGTTGCTCAGTGCCTCCTTCTTCAGAAGGAATAAATGGCTGCAGACTAGGAGGAGATGGGGAAAGAGATCGTTTGTAATTCTTCGAATATGTTAAATTTAACTTTTTTCCTTTAATTTGCAGCGTTATTCCTAGTCCCTTCCATGTTCTGGGGTACCCCAGCAGAGCACGTTATCTTAACACAAGGTGTAAGCCTGGTCATTTGACTTTTTCTCATTTGCTGTTATGGTTTCTTCCAGAGCTGTGTTGGGACATGCTAAGGAGAGAGATACCTAATGGCAACACTTGGTCATTTGGTACCTGCCTCCAAGTTTCCATGAACTGATCTGGATTCTGAAACCCCGTGTACATGGTGTCGCTCCCTGAAATGTGAACAGCTGTGTTTGGTTTTCCAGCTAATGTATATAGAGCCCCGTAATAACCTACTTTGTTTAATGCGCCTTGTACATGAGAACAAGAGGTTGCTTTGATAAGTTTGCTGTGTATTAAGTTACAACTGTTGCCAAAACAAAATCCAAAGGGTTTGTGAGTGACACCTTATAAGATAACATTATTTACTTTGTGAGACGTGGCTTTGATCTGCATGGGTGTCTTAAGTTGTCAGTAGCTTGCTTGAGCTTTGATACTGAAGAGATTTTTCTTTTCGCTTTGTAAGGCAGCTCTCATATCATTCCCTTTAAAACATTAACGTAAGAAATCCCTGAGGAACAGCCTGTATGTTAACCTTAAATCCTCCTGGCTGTGCAAAGTATATCTGAATAGCTGTACTTATTTCTGAAGTACAATGAATGTATTCCTTTGTATACAGCACAGGTCTCGGGAGTCAATTGCAGAATTAGCAGCTTGAAGAGGGAAAGTAAAATGCCTGAGTCTATTTAGACAAAAGATACGTGCTTAGAAATGAGCCAGGCTAGAGAATACAAATGTGCCTCATACACCGAGCAATAAGGCTGTGTTATAATTCAGACCTTCCTGTAGCTTTTCAAATACTTCTCCTTAAACATTTTGGCCAGCACTTTAAAGCAAGGGTCTCAATGGTCACGCCTTCACCAGTGAATCTGAAGAGAGCCGCGCCCCAGGACCGGGGGTGCGAGCATCCCCGCTGTTCCGACCCGCATCGGGTCGCTCCCTCCCAGGCAGTGCTGTAACACCTAAGTCATGGGATAGTGTTTGGCTCTGGTTTGTTACCGGGAGGTTGCATAGTTAAGGCAGAAGAGAGACTATTTGGGGGCAGAAAAGAGTTTAGTTGTATGAATGCAAGGCATGCTTTGCCTCGGAGTCAACAAGTGGGACCCAGCTTCTTTTATTTCTAAGTATAGACGTAGCCAAAGGACCCTCCTCATTACAGCAGTAAGGAGACTTGCGTTAAGAGTTCAAGCCTGAAAACATCAGCTTTGCCATTTTTACTGAAGGGCTGAGTTGCGTCTGTGCTTCCTGCTATCTGTTTAAGACTCGCTTGTGTGGTAATTTATGCCTCTCTAGCTTTATTATGAAATAATGTCACATTATCTATTTTCTAGCCTGGCTGCGAAACCCAACTGTTTGAGTGAACACCTGGGAGCAGCTGGGGAATTAAGATTAAATTTTTATTTCTTTAGAGCATACAGAAAGTGGAAGACTGATTTGATATGTGCATTTAAACTTGAAAGTAGGAGAATGGCTTCTGGTTATCATTAACAAAAGTTAGAAGGCAGCTGGGAGAAAAGAACTGAAGCCCATGAGGTCTGTCTTTTCCCCCCCTCCCCCTTTTTTTTTTTTCTTTTCTCCTTTATATGCTCTTAGGATGCACCAGAAGAACAGCTCCTGAATTTGTCCATCATATACACCATTGGATATGCTCTTTCCTTCTCTGCCCTTGTAATAGCAACTGCCATTCTTCTTGGATTCAGGTAACTGGTGAAGCTTTGAAGAGAGTGGAGAAAAAGCGTTATGTTTTTCTATATGGTAGTATCGGACTTTGACAGAAACACTTGACTATTATTTTCCTTCTTCCACCACCTCATTATTTCTCTATATTATGTTACTACTTACGATAATTTCTTCTCAAAATGCAAGTAAAATTCCTAAATTTTTGCAGCATTACCTATATGCATGTGTGGAACAGATGCCTTTTATCAGTTGAAATATTTGGTTGTGATATTTTTTATTTAATTGAAATTTCTCTGGGAAGAGATGGAAAGAGGGAGAGAGTCTAACATTCCCTCATGGTATTGCTTTGCAGATGAGGCACTAGTCTGGAATGTGAGGGGACATTTAGGACAGAAGTTTTCATCTTGCCTTCCTTGGAATTACACAAAGCATAAAGCTTAGTCTGGCCCATTCCCCAGCCCTTGCATGCAGGGTTTCAAATATGAAATATATGCATGAAATAGTTTCAATGCAGAAATGGATTTTTGACGCAATTTTCCTCTTTGGAGAACTCTCAGAAATTATCTCTTTTGCAATATGGAAAAGAACCTAATTTTGAAACTCGAAAAGTTTCTGTGAAATAAATTGCTGTTGCCTTGTCAGATTGGTGCATTGGGTTCATCCAGGTATGCACCGACAAATTGCATGGAGTGCATCAAAATTAAGAGACCGTTGGTTGTACATGCCAACGATACACTGCGTGGGTTTGGTTTGGAGAGAAAAAAAAAAAATCAGTTTTGGACTCAGACTTTTATTTTTATTTTTTTCCTTTGTAAATGCAAGACATGTCTTGATTCCAGCCAGACTTTTCCTGCAGTTTGGGGAATTGAGCACAGGAGACTGATATTTAGAAAACGCAAAGATGCGATTCTGCTCTGCCGTGGGAGGGATGTCCCTCTGCCATGAAGTCGTGCTCCCTGCTGCTCTGTATAGCCAGGTCCCACCATCCCTCTTGCATGCTGATGAGGCTGCCTCCTAAAAAACTAGTGTTCCATCTCCTGGTACTCTTATTTGAAATCAGGTCAGGAACCCTCAGTGCTCTGATCCCTAAGAAACTTTCTTCCCTGACTAAGGAATTATTGTTGCCAGTTAATGAACGTTTGCTCTGGTGCCAGCACTCTGAGCAAGGCAGTCCCTCTCCTTTCCTCCCTCCAAAGTGTTTATACCCCTTATGTATTTAAAAAGATCAGTCATGCCTTTTGCCTTCTAATTTCCAAAACCGAAGTGATGCAAACCTTCTAATACCATACCACACCTTTTAGCACTGTATTATCCCTTCTCCTTCCGGTGGGGAAGCACAGGCTAGCAATCTGAAAGAAGATTTAAAAATGAGTGCAGAAATGCAGAGGCATGCTCACCCTCTGTGAATGCCATGTGGTAATTATGATTTGTACGTGTTGTACCTGTGCAACTTTGGGACTCATCTGACAAAACACCAGATGGTCTTGAAGTCTCCAAATGTCTCCCAGGATAAGTGCTTTCTCCTTGTTTTGCCCATCAATGACACTTTTTGAGTAATCTTAGCAGCCCAGATGTAAAGGTCACAGAGCGCAACCATATACTTTTTGAAGGAAGGAGGGAAGGATGCTCTTCGTTTTTTTTTGGCAGGGAACAAAGAGCAAGTTTGTCACTGAGGACTGGTAGGAGAGAGCGAATTTTGATGCCCTGACTTTTGTGGAGAGATGCTTTAGTGTTTTCTCCTTTAACTGTGAAGCGGGGACTGGAGAAGTGTACGCAAGTGTGTGGTTCTGATTTTGAAAATGAGGTTTCGGATATGTTGAAGGGGCTGAGAGCCTTGTTAAAATTATGCCATCAATCCATTTTGTGCTTTCCTGTCTAAATTGTCTCTCTGGAGACAACTGGGTCCTGGATCTCATTAAATACATGAGACCTACCCCAATGCGGATCACGGTTGCTGGATTCTGACTGGAATTCTGCTCGTGGCCTCTGCCCAGTAGCTGTGCAACCTCAACAAACGGGGATCGAAATCTAATTCAGTGGCACCAAAAAGCTGATGTTCTCCACTTTTGTAATAGGAAGGCCTTTTTAAGTTCTTAGACTACAGAATGACCTTTATATTTGTTTTTAATAATGATACAACAGAGGGAACAATATACCTCTAGTGTACAATTTTGCATCCTCTAAAGAAACAGAAGAAAAGTCTGTAATTTCAGTGATGGAAGCTGAATTAGTCCCATAACTTCATGACCGAAACAATTTGAATAACTTGCATTGCCTGTAGCAGAAATACTCAGTAACTACTTGCAACCTATTTCCTTCAATTGGCTAATTTACATAATTTTTTCAATCATATTTAAATGTGCAGCAGTTCTGAAGGGTAGCAAGAAATATATTTGGAGCTAAAGGAAAATAAATATTAATCATAGGTAAGTTTTGAAATAAGCTGTGACTTAAAAATTATGAAAAAAACCCTTTGACCTATGAAAAAAAGGTTCTCCTTCCTCTTCAGTGCAAAACCGGTAACTTTCAGACCATGTCTATTTTTCTACCTAAATTTATAGAGCAGTAAAAATAGATGTTGAACGCATAAGTTCACTGAAATTCTTGCTGGAACAATTGCTGTTTATCCTATGTTACCTGTATTCTCAAAAAAGAATCATTCCCAGTGTAACTTCCTTTGAAACAAAGTGTGTACCCTTGCAGTGCTGGAAGAAAAATGTTTGTAGATAAGGCTGGTAAAACATTGGCAGCACTCTGCAGTTGGATGCCTTTTATGTGACTGCAGCTTCTTTTGCTATCCCTTAACACGCTCTTTTTTGACAAGTAGCAATTTTATTGTCTTTACAGCTGGCTGCTGAAATTCAAGAGGATTTTGTTCTTTGGGGTTGGTTTTTTTGTTTTCAATTCTGAATGCAGAGGTGAAAATTCTGTTCCTCTTAGTTCTACAGAAAGTATTTACAGTTCCCCCAGGAGGCAATCTGAATACAGATTTTTCTTTTGTTGTCAAAGCGATAATTTACAGGTAGATGTTTTTCCATTGTGGGTTTGAGCACAGCCAGAAGCTGTACTGCACACCGCTTCCTGAGCCTTGCCAAGGTAAACCTGTGCAGTGACATTGGAGTCAATTCAAAGAGATTAGATTCAGCATTATGTGAAACTTTTTTGGTCCTTTCAGATATGCCTTCTGAAAATGACTTGATTTTTTTACACTTTTTAAACTTCTAAAGCATTTTTTTCCTTGCACACTGATCTCCTTCCTTCCCCCAAACATTCACACTTAGGGCTGAAGTTCTGAATGTCTTTTCCTTGGTAGTGATTTCTTCCCAAAGACAGTTTGAAATCCCTACAGCCGTTCTCAAGTTACGGGTTTTCCTCTGGTACCTCTTGATTTCCAGCAGGGCTCATTGTTCCCTCCATCAGTCCTATGTGTGATGTTGCAGCTTTTACATAGGTAGTGGATCATGACTTGTTCTTCCTTTTCACAGACATCTGCATTGCACGAGGAATTACATTCACCTGAACCTCTTCACATCTTTTATCCTCCGGGCTATATCCATCTTCATTAAAGACTCAGTGGTGAAGTGGATGTACAGCACAGCCACGCAAGAGCACCAGTGGGAAGGACTTATCTCCTTCCAGGTAGGGGCAGGCACTGTGGTGGTTCTCAGGATACTGGAGCCATCGCTGCGGTGGTGCATGAGAGCAGGTAACTTCATTTTGTACGACGAGGGTTGTACAAAATGCTCTTCAGTCCGTGGGGTTTCTCTGAAACTTGTAGCACAACGTATACGGTTGTGATTGTGCCACCCCAGGCTTGGTACAGGCAGGTAGTTGATGCCATGGCACGTTTTTCTTCCTGTGGGAAGCTTGCCCCTGCTAGACAGAAAAACGTGAAGAGGTGGATTCTTGAGATACAGATATATATATATACGTACATACACAAATGCCCATATATTCCGTCCATGCTGCAGTTTCATTTCTTCCATAGTGACAAAAGGGCATTCATTTCCCGAAGCCAGCACCTTTTGTGAGAGTACCGTCCACCTTGTATAATGACCAAATTAGTCTGTCATTCTTGGAGATCTTTATAATCTGTTGATGACAGAAAAAAGGGAAGCATCTGATTAAAATGCAAATTTGAAAGCATTTAGAAAAGCTTTGGAGGAACAGGCTAATTAAATACTTGTAATTGAAGGGAGAGGATATACAACTCCGTTGTGAATATTATGAAAGCATGCCTTTCCCCCTTCCCTTTGTATTTTGGAATACAAAATGTACTTGAATCTTAAAAGAAAGGGATTTTCATTATCTGTATAGCTCTTGTGATTCTAGATAGATGGGTACAGCGTTTGCTGCTGCAATACAGGGTTGGGATCCTAAAGGATATGTCTTCTGATGCATGCTTAGTACCCATCGTTTTCTGACACTCTGGCTAAGGCTTAATCACTAATACCACGTAGAGAATCTCTCATGATTGTTGATTTCTTCTCATCTGCAATGTATCAGTTGGCAGAAAATAACATTGTAAAACATATCTTAAATGTTGGAAATATCTTAAACATTTGGAAATGTTCACATTGGATTGTCAGTCATTCCCTCCTTCAAAAAAAAACGTAGGCTTTATGCTTTTGCACATGGTTTATCAAATAGTGGTTTCATCAGATGTGATGGATGTATTAATTAGGTAATCAGGTTTCGTATTTATCTAAAGCCCTGCTGCCCACCTGTCTGTAATTTATCAGCCAAGAGAGATTTTGCACTTAAATATGATGCACTGGGCAATATTTTGCTGTTCCAGCAAAAGTCTTTTGCTTTGGAAAACAGTCAACTTTATATCCATTATTTGCTCTTTAATAGAGAAATTCTCAGCTGCAGGGTGGAATATCTAGGGAAGTGAAAAGACTCACTGACTGCAGTTGATACAGTACCTTTCACTTGCTTTTCTTTTCATCTTTGTGTTGAGCTTTTCTTGCGGGAAACGCAGAACATGTAATTTTTCATTTTTTTTTTTTAAAGGAGGAATGTTACTGAAAGCATCTGTTGTTTATAGCACCTGTCCCTGGCTTCTGTCCCTTCGCACTCAAATATGATTAATTTAGCAAGCGTTGTTTTGAGGAGCAAGAGTAGCGGAGAGAGAACCAGTCTTTTGGGTTAGTACCATTTTATTCTCGGCCCCTGTTGGGTTTATTCGGGCTGTGCTTTCTTCCGTCACAGGAATCGCTCAGCTGCCGCTTGGTCTTTGTGATGATGCAGTATTGCGTGGCTGCAAACTACTACTGGTTGCTGGTGGAAGGCATGTACCTGTACACGCTGCTGGTGCTTTCAGTCTTTTCCGAGCAGAGGATTTTCCGCCTTTACCTCTGCATTGGCTGGGGTAAGTTGAGCGTTCTGTAAGTCCGCCTGCGGCTGCGCGCACCTGTGGGTGGTGTAACAGGAAAACACACTGTGTGTCTACCAGAGCGCTGCCCAGTCCAAGTCCTGTACTCTCCATTCCCTTTTTGTTCCTGATCCCTCACCTTGTTTGAGCTGGCACAGCACAGCTCCCGGATGCTCGCGGCATAGAGGCTGTGGGTTCACAGAATCACTAGGTTGGAAAGGAC